GAAAATAATGAACGAAATTCGTTTTCAAATAAATAAGTATACTATAATTTATAATAAATTAATAAATAAAATTGCATAATAAAATGCTTTTGTTAGTGTTTAAAATGAATAGAATTATGATTGTATAATGTATTTAACACCCAGTGTTTGTTAATGAATATTCGATCTTGTACCCCTTTTCCACATCTTCCTTAGGATTTGAGTAATCGTCGCTTACAAAGGCAACATAGAGAGGCCCTTGAGTATTGACTGAAAAACGTAAAACAAAAGCAAAATATTAATTAAGAAATTCCCTATAAAATCATTTCTGTAGATGAAATAATATATAGAGCACAATCGGGAAATATTTAAATCTGTTCTTGTTTCGGTGGGATCTTTAAAGTAAATCGATGTTTCAACCCCGTTAACTGGGTACTTTAGTTTACTGGTTAGGTAACCACATAATGCACCTTTTTGGAAACACAATTGCGTTCCTTAAAAAKATTGAGTATCTATGTTGAAAAATTAACTTTAAAATTTACCCCAAAAGTCGAACGATTGTGTATGATTTGCTACACAACGCAACGTTGCCACATTTAAATTTTTAGTTTGAAATAAATTTTATATATTTTAGGTTATTTTACAAAATACATTTTTTTTTTTGTGAATTTTCAATGTAGTTATGTCCATTAATTTGTTTCATGGACAAAAATTCCATTTGTAAAAATGCTAGCATAACATGATTTTTTTTTGTACACAAACATTTTCTAAATCCGTCTTGTTGTTGCTTAATTATCCGAAATTTATGAAGATTTTGTAAAACTATTGGTTTATCCGTTTCAGATTTTATAAAATCAAATTTATGTTTTCCATATTTCACTTGAAAAACATTTAATACCTAACACAAAACACGCGAGGTGGTCTATGATCCAATAATGATTTTACATAAAGCAGTTATTAAACGATACACACAATAAATCGAGTGTGAGTATCCTAAATTATTCAATTTTGTTATCGCCTATCAAATAATCATAGTTAATTTTAAATTTCACTTTCCATTATTTAAAATCAAATGAAAACAGTACTTCAAAGTTACAAATAAAAATCTAAAAATCGTACACAATCGTGAGCATCGATAAAGTTTTACCATTTAGATTAACCTCCRATGGGAGGAGGTACATCACTCCATGACTACCGCCTACCAGGTCATCGTGATATTTAAAAAACAAAATAAAATATTACTGTCACAGTTACCTGTGCTGTCATCGAAGTCTTCCAGCGACTTGCCACAATATTTCGACGCAAATTTGGAGTCCGAATAAACGCCGTCCGGTATGAGCAAGTAGTCGTTGTGCACGCCACGTTCGGACGATTTTCCCTTGCTACGTCCACTCACTGAATCTTCGAGTTCCGTTAGAATTTTGGGCTCTATTGGATCTTTGGGTTTCGCTGGATCTTTGGGTTTTGCTGGATCTTTGGGTTTCGCTGGATCTTCTGGTTTCGCTGGATCTTTGGGTTTCGCTGGATCTTCGGGTTTCGCTGGATCTTTGGGTTTCGCTGGATCTTCGGGTTTCGCTGGATCTTCGGGCTTCACTGGGTCTTTGGGCTTCGTAGGATCTTTGGGCTTTGATGGATCTTCGGGCTTCGTTGGGTCTTCGGGCTTTGTTAGATCTTCGGGCGTCTTTGGGTTTTCGGGCTTTGATAGATCTTCAGGTTTCGTTAGACCTTGGAGTTTCGTTGACGACTGAGTAGTGTCGCAGTCTCGGTCTGTAGAACCGGTCAGCTTCTGGTTGTACGCCATTTGGAATTTCACTGCTTCATATCTAAAGGGTAGGCAGTTTTCGGTTGATAAAATATCGTCTTTATTATTTTAGTAGTACAAGTGGTACCAAGGTATATGTTTATATCGATAACATAATCTATGAACTATTGAAAAAAATGTTATTTTAAACCACGTAGATATTATTAATTGTAATATAAGTAGGTACCTACATATGTACGCGTTAAGTTAATTTTGTACATAATAGATTTTAAATGATATTAGTACTAAAATCTATAACGTTTATTTATAGTATGAATTATTTGTTTTCCAAAGTATTATTTTAACATATTTCTTTATAAATATATATTAATATATATATATATATATATATATATACATATATATATATATTTACGGTCAATTATTTTTTTCAGAACCAAACTGTCGAGGGATTTATGTCGGAGGCCTTAATAATATTAAACGCATGTTTGAAATTGTAACTTTCTTCGACGAAACCCAGCTATTTTTAAGAACTCTTATGAATATATTTTGTTTTGTTTTTTGATGCTAAATAATTTTTGTTGAAAATAAAAAAGTGTGATGGTGTCATAGATTGTATTTTTTGTTAAACGATTTTTATTTTATTATATACCTCATAAATTAAGCACGGACTGTTATATGATTTTGTCTTCATAGTGTTACTGTGTCACAATCACTTACTTGATTCCACAATTGTCTTGGTTCCTTTTGAAGCAAGTCGCGTAATTTAAATTGCCCAAATAGTGCCCCGTCCCTCTGTTGTAGTTAAAGCTTTCGAACGAACCACGTTTGTCAGTGAAGTATTGCAAACAACCTTCTGGTGCTAAAAAAAAGTAAACAAATAATAAATTATCGTCTTATTCCACAACGTGGTAAGTAAACACTTTGGCGAATATCATGTAATATTGTCATGTTTTGCTTTATTTAGCTACAAGTAAGGTGCTTTCACTATTTTACCTAGACTGTACTTGGATTTCGAGGCGTCTCTATCCTCATCTTCCCAGTCCCAGACTTGGCGTGCTATGTCTTTGATCTTCCACCAGTTGGTCGATGTCGTTTGGCATTCCAATTGCGTAATTTTTAATTTCCATAATGGTTCCTGTTCAGTGTAGTTTTCATCCCTGGYGGTCAACCGGAATTTTAAAGTCACCTGTTGCTTGTTGTTGTTGTTGTTGTTGTTTTTGCTTCTTGATTCCGACTGTTGCTGGTTCACCGGTACATACACTAAAATAAAAAAAACATACGCGGTACAGAAGGAATGAATCTCGGCAATCATTAAAGTTTACATTRAAATATTATAAATAATARTATTTTAAACGGACAGTTTATTTTTTCATTATCTTACCGTGTTGACCAGAATTTTCACCGCATAAAACCGGCACGTTTATTTTGGTGTTGCCGTTCGTAATTAATGTAAACTGGTCACGTTCACACGTGTACGCTGATTCTGTCGTCAGTTTGGTCGGTTGGCCGAGTGAAAATTTCTCAAAATCGATTCTATAAAAGTTATTTAGTTTATATAATATGTGTAATGGAAATAAGTATGAATAAACGTCATTGAAAAAATCTGACACGACTCTAACTTATGATTATAGCGTTAATGCATAGTATACCTTATCTGGCAAATGTTTTTTCTGATGTTGACCTTGTAAGCGCATACGTCTTGGAATTTTTCGGGGCTTTGGAAAAACGCGGTGCTTGAACTCGAAGATCCACCACACGAATTGGGCGTAACTTCAAAATTAATAAAGTAAGTCGTATTASATAATAGTCATCGAAAATAAATTAAATTTAGTTTATATTAAAAGTACCTATATATTATATTTTATTATAAATAAATTATTATAATATTGAAC